CCAGCAGATTGTGTCAGACACCATGAGGCCGCACATCAGCTTGGTGTAGCGGCGGGAGATGCAGCAGGCATACAGGACGTTCTCATTGCTGAGGTCCCAGGCTCCAAGCATTCCCACGATGAGCGCGTTGACTGTCACATCATAGCTGCGGCCCCTCAGGATGTCAGTCAGAGAGGCATACTTCTCCTGTTTGTGAGCCCGGGCATTGGTGAAGACTTGGTGCTGGTTCTCGAAGGGGATGGTCACATCCATGATCACAACCTTCTTGGCCTCTTATTGGTGATCACAATGTCAGGGTGTATCTGGCTGTTGCAGCCCAGGATGGTGTGGTTCACAGAGATCTCCACTGCTGCGGCCAGGATGGCCTTCACCAGGCAGTCCTGGACAGTGTTGTGGCAGAGCTGCCAGGCTCTCGTGTGCAGCCTACAGCTGCACAGCACATGGGGGAGGGTCTCTGCCGCATAGCCACACCATCGGCACCTCTTGTCCCGGTGGCCAGAGTGGACGGCCCCATTCAGAGGCAGGCAGTTGAGGCAGGCGCGATGGAAGAAGCACCGGTCCACGAAGTGCATGAAGCTCCCACTGGGTATGAAGTGGTTGCTGGAGTCCCACTTCGAGGTGACGTCGAAGACCTTGCCCTGGTTGGGTTTGGCCCTCAGGTTGCCAGTGTACTTGTTTCAGATGGTGTCCTTCAGGAACCGCTCCAGGAAGATCCTCATGCAGGGCATCACGGTAACACAGTCGGGTTGCGGGGCTGGTTGCAGGGAGACTTCCAGCTCCCAGAGCTCCTCGGTCCAGGTCTAGGTGCAGCCGATGCGCTTCCTGAGGCAGCATGTGGTGTTGCGGGCTCAGGTCCACAGCGAGGCAAAGTTCCCACCATCTCTGCCGAACTCGCACTCCAGCGAGCCACTGAGGAAGGTGGCCAAGTCACATCCAGTCGGGTGTCTCACGATCCTCTTACAGGTGGTCTCCTCGAGGGCGCTGGTGGTGATGATACTTAATGTAGGATCCGGGCAGGTCAGGAGGCAGAAGGCGTGGGTGACCACTGCGATGTTGTAGAGGTCTCCCATGCGAAGGTGTCAGAGAGCACTCAGGTGCCCTGCACCTGAGAGCAGAAAACAACTCAGGAGAGACCCCTAGTGGCAAGAAGAGGGAGGCCCAGCTGCCAGTTACCAGGGCAGCTGGAGTAACAGGTGCTGGTTGCCAGGACAACCGCTGGGGAGCCAGCTGACAGGAAGGGGCAGGGCCTGGCCCATATAAGCCCAGGCAGGAGGCCAGGAAGGCAGTTCTCCTCTGGCAGCCAAGGAAGGAGGAGTTCAGCCAGTGTAAACAGAGGGGAGAACCCTGACTGTGAGCAGCCCCTGGTCGCTGCTGGGGGTTGGAGTGTTTTCCTGGTAGGGATTGAATGTTGTTTGGCCGGACGGTCTAGCTTTTTATGTTATAGCTCAGGGGCTTTGTGTTTTTGTGTTTGCTGTTTTGACCAGAGGACTGGGTGAGGCTATTAGGGGTTGGAGGAGGCCTCATAGGGGCTCCACGGTAGCATGGGGACCCTGGCGCCAGAGAGGGCACAGCATTTGGGGTGCATTGACCCCAGAGCAAGGGGGGCAGTGAGAAGCCCCAGAGCAAGGGGGGCAGTGAGGAGCCTGGAGAGAGGGCCATGAGGAGTGAGAAGCCCCAGAGTGAGGGGGGGGCAGCGAGAAGCCCCAGAGCGAGGGCAGGGCAGCGAGAAGCCCCAAGGAGGTAAAGGAGAGGGCCAAGTCACAACAGGGCCTAGGTCAAAACCGCATCAGTACCATCTGCAAGGCTTGGGCTACGGTGTAGGGGAGGAAAAGGAGCCGCAGATAGCACCCCCTGGCACCAGGGCGCATAAAGTGGGCAGCCTCCTGCTAATTACATTAATCAATTAAGATCAAGGCATGGCTGGCGAGTAAGCAGGTGGTTGGCCCATAACAGAAGGACGGAGTCACCAGTAGAAAGGCCCCAGTAGCGATACTCCTGTCACAGGGGGACATTGGCACCTCCCTGCCAATAGGGGATGTGCAGGATCTTGTTGCTGGCCCTCAGTGGCAGATGCAGCCACTTCTTCAGCAGCCGCCAGATCTCAGCATCCACCTTGGGAAGAGGCGGGTCTTGGAGACACATGGCATCTGTCAGGTGCCTCAGATACAATAGTGAAAATATAGAATATTCTGGCCCAAATGCAAGCTCTGAAACAGCAGAAAAGTTTGTTTTTGGCTCTAAACAGTGCCCAAGGACAGCATATTCTCTTAGGTCAGTCATACAACAGAGGTCTATGTTTGCTGATACCACTTATGAAGCAACTTTGTCAGGACACTAGTTTGCTGGTAGGAATGGATGCACAGAATGACTTTTGTGTGAGGGTTTGCTTGGCACAGAAAGAACGGGTGTATTTAATTCTTGTCAACTTGTCACAGCATTCATTTATGTAGGATACTACCAGTGATGCATTTGCAAGGAAACTGGAAGCTATCACTAAACATTTATCCTTAATCACTCTTCCTTCCATATATCCAACTCTCAGCCACTTACTGTAACTAAACTCAATCATCCCATCCCTGCATACTCACAATTACCCTATTAACAAACACTGAAGTTACCTGTTTGACTGGCCTGATGAAGACAATACAAAAGATTGAAATGAGGCAGTGTTGTTCAGTATTGTGAGGCAAAAACCAGGAACTGAATTGTATTTCTGACTCACTGTGTGATTACGTTTCCTAATAAGTTCTAATAACACTCATTATTATTAAAGTATTACACCGTTCAGCTATGGGTTTTTCTGTAAGAAGGTTTTTACTGTCCTACTAGTACTGAGGATGTAGGTAAAAAGTTACTTGTAAAGAAAAAATCAAACTAGGGCAGGAGGGAAGGTGGCTTAGATATTTGCTACTTTCTGATACAACAGAGGCCCTGAAGGAGTGCATTTTTGTACTGATTAGTGACCAACTGTGAAATACCCTATGATCAGTTGGATAGCTAGCTGGTAGGATTCTGATGCATCACAGAAGTGAAATCTACCTAACTGAAACAAGGAAGTGAGTTTGAAGGCTAGAATTAGGGGCTTACAAGTAGCAATTGTCAATCTAAACAAGTGACTTTAGGGAGGAAAGTTTTCTTTGTTAAAGATTCCACACTGGTCCTCATCATTCCACTTGGTTACAAAAAGTCCCAATACAAAATTGAGCCCTTCCAAGGGGTCAGAAAATATGATTTGATATTCCTGATAGTTAAAAGGACAATATAAATCCAGCACCATTGAGGCTTTCTATGTATTATGATGAAATAAGAGATTTCAAACCCCTTGTTTCATGGTTATTTTCCTTCGTAAGCTACCTAGAAAGAGGAAATACGGTTTAACATTTTAGCACATAATCAAGAGAAGTCAGACTGGTAAAAACTGGTCTATAGCAGATTTACAGTCTGGTTAATTTGAACTTTATTGCCCATGTTTGCTTTGCATTCTAAGGCGGAACTATGTTTTCCGAATTGTAACTTTCATCATGCTGCTGAGATCAGATAGCAGGTTTTTATTCTATTTTTAACTTTTTCAACTTAAACCCTTCAAAGACCTCTACTGATTAGCCTTCAGTCTTTAATTATCTTTGTAACTCAGATTTTCTTTTACTCTAACCCCTTGTATAGGGTGTTTTTACTGGCGCACACACTCACAAAAGGGCTCAGTCTCATACAACCAAATGTTGATTGTAGATTATGAACATCTAAACTATAAGGCCCTTATCCTGCAAAAACACATTTAATTTTTAACCTACAAATATCCCCATTCAGGTCAATGAGCCAAGCCCTGTGAATACTCATACAACTAATCCCACTTAGGCCGTCATGCAAGTGATTTGGGTAAATTTAAAATAAGATTATAGCCTTAATCGGGAGTGTCAAACTTGGCTGTTCCCCCAAGCTGGATCCAGAAATGGTGGCAGCAGAAGACAAGGGGTAGCAGCATGGAGGTTAACAAGCCATCATTTCCCTCTCTCTCTTTCCCTCTCTGCTGCCAACACATCTCCAACAGGGCTCTATGCTCAGGAATTCAGCAACTTGGCAACAGTCTCCAGTCCTGAAATCCCTGCCCTTCCAGGAACCTTGCAAACTGGATGAAACAGCTCTGCAGACTGGATCTTTGACATTCCTGCTCTAATTGGACCTAACTTTTACAAGACTTTTTTTAACCCTTCAGTAAATTCAAATGCATAGCAGTTTGTTATATCCTATTATTGGCAAAGCTCAAGCAATTAAGCCCTCTCTCCTAAAAGAACAGCCATAAACCAACTGTAATAAAAGTTTGTTTCACTAAAAATTAAAGACTTGACTCAAGGTATCTTGATGATGAAAAATATAATTATAGTTTTCTTTTGAAGGCTTAATGGTCATGCTAAAGGTTAGCAGAATCCCTACCCTCCACACACTTGTGAATGTGCTAACTGCTGTGTCATTTTGATTTCAGAAGGATTTTTCACAGTATTCAAATTAAGCATGTGTTTAGGTGTGTGCAGGACTGGGGCCAAAGAACTCTTTGCTAGCCCCAGACTCTAATACTAATTAACTCCTAAAACCAGGACTAGATTACTCTTAAAATTTACCTTCTACCTGTAGACAGTCTTACTGCCCCTTTTCTGTACATTCTTAATGCTGTGTCTATCAATATATTGATTTAGGAATTTTAAAAAAATCATGCCTCCTATCCTGACAGTCAAATACTACTTTTTCCAACACACATATTTAAGGAAGCATTAGAATTGCACAGCTCTCCTTACTGTTTTAATTTTCAACCTTTTACTAATCCACTCCAAGCAAAATAATCTATCACTTCTTTGAGTGTAATCAACACGAGATAGGGATTTAGATGGCAGTGTATCTTTAAGTGTCTCCACCTCTCAACCCACCCGCTTCCTTGATAGCTGCTGCAGTCTTGTTGACTCAGGTAAATACTGTGTGCATACAGTAGCCAGCAGGAAAAGTGCATTTTGGAGTTCTTAAAAGCAAAGTAGTTCCATGTATTTGACTTCCTAACTCACTAGGGCTGAAGGTGTATAAAGGTAACAGTTTTTTTAGTTTCTAAGATCTTGCAGAAAGATAGTCCCTCCTCTCCTGGAAAAGCCAGACTAACCAGTTAGATACCTTTCTGGCTTTAACACACAGGACTTTATCTTCTCATCCCACTGCCTTTTTAAAGTAGAAAGACCTCAGGCACTTACGAACTGAAGATCATACTAAGCAAATGGCTAATCCCAAAGTTGTTTGCAATGGACATTGCCATCAGAAACAGAATAACCTCTTAAAAAGTGGAATCTACAAGAAAAATGGAATTGCTAAACAAATTAAGGTAAGGTTTAATTTCCTGAAGTCTGCCATTCATTAAGATGAACAGTTTTAAACTTATTTAAAGAAATGGATTGTCACTGAATGGATATTACAGTATTGGCTTTATGTGAAGCTTGACACGTGCAGCATGAGCCTGCATTCTTATTAACATTTAAAGTTCTGGTTGAAGTCAAAAGGATTATTGGGTGTGTAGGCAATAGCATTGATCTAACTAGATTCAGTTCTTCAGATCAGAAACAAGTATCTCATTCACTTGAAAATTGTTGAAAGCCTTTCTGTTGGTAGAACTGTAGAAATGTATCAATAACTTAATAAGGGTTTTATCCTTTAAGTGTATGTGGAGTCTTATTTGATTATGATGTGTTAATTTTTAAGTGCAATGTAAGAAAATAAAACAAGAAATAGGAAGGAGATTTTTTTTTTCCTGATGATTATATTGTTGTAAGGTTGGCATGGTGTCTAGTTTACCGGGGCATGCTCTATAGGCTTAAGAATCTGTCCTTTTTATTTACACATTGTTACAGTGTTAGCAGCTCTTTAAAAAATAAGTTAGTCTACAGGAAATTCTCTCAAGCTGTTTTTTTTTTTTCCTGCATCTTTGAAAGCCATCTCTCATTGACCTGAATGCCTCACTATACCTCATTTGATGTTTGTAGTTTCCCAAAAGAGAACCGTAAAACTAGAGAGGCTCTTTTGCAAAAGAGGTCCTATGCATAGAACATTAAATGCTGTCTCTATGGAAGAGCCTATTACTATTGGAAAAATCTTTTGGCTCTTCAAATCCAAGTTTTGCTGGCTTTGAGAATGCATCTAAACTGATGTAACCAACACTTCAATTGGGAGCAGGAAAAGAATGCCTTTAAAGCTGGATGCTTCATGCCTCAATCACAACATCTGGCAACACTAGCTTGTGTTTGAATGCTTATCTGACAGTTTTTATTAACTTCAGTTGTCTAGTCCTATACCTTTAGACAATGCCTATGCCTGTTCCAATGGCCAGCTTCAGGTGCATCACAAACAAGAAGCTCTCATCCTGAGTCTTTTTTTCCTAATGGGAATCTCATGCTTTCAGCCTATTAATTAAGGCACACCCAATGCAAAGGTTAGTTAGTGATTGTCTGGCTTCAGGACTCTAGCATGGGTGGCTCCTAGTTACTGGCCCAGCCCATGTGTGGAAAGATGATGGCAAGAAAGCTTGTGCAATGAAGGAAAAGTCATATCTTGCTCCCAGGAACCAGAACTGAAATCACAGTCACCACTTTGGATATTAAAAGTCATGCTATTTATCCTGAAATGTATACTTTTAGCACCATTCGCCAATATTCCGGTTTCTATTTTATCAACCTGAAATAGTTAACCTGCTGGGAAAAGAATGAGAACTTGTGACAGTAGTAATTTCAGAGGAAAGAAAAAGACTAAATAATAATAACAATGTATTTATTATTATTGCTGCTGCTGCTGCTGTTGCTGCTATTAGGGATGTAGCTAGAAAAATAGGGAAATGTGTATTTGACAGTAAACAATAAAAGAATATATAGGCTGGTGCTGGAGGGGGTGGGAATGGCCTGGAGGAGATAGTTAAGTGATCTGTCCACAAATGGTTGTGGAATAAAAGGAGACTTTATTTTTCTTTTGTGGTACAGACACATTATATTACAGAACACTTAGATCTTGTAACACTCAGAGATAGGAAAACATCATCCCCAGTATAAACTGGAAATGAATGGTTGAAAGGGTTAAGATCAGTGATGACCTTCTCATCCGAGGTCATCACTGATCTGGTAAGTGTGCAGGTCTCCTGATTCCCAGTCTGGTGCTCTATTCACAATCCCAATCTCTTTCCTTCAATTCTTGCTTGAAGCACAGATTGGAAGGGAAAGGAACAAAAACAGGTGAGAGCTCATTCTTGTTCCTGCTAGGAATCTGCCCTTTCCTGTCTGGTCTGCCTCTCCACTCTCACCTACCCCAACCCAGTACATGATTTGTTATTTTTGTTTTATCCCTTTTTCCAGATAATTGTCCTCCACACATGGAGTGGCTTCCACTCTGGCTTTATCTGCCCATCTATCTATAATATTTACATTACCACATCAGTGTATTAATTGAGCACCTCACAGATTTCAGTGTATTGACCCTAGCAAATATCTTCCTTAAATGGTAAAACACTTCAAATGGAGGAGGAATTAAGGGACAGAGAGGAGGGTAGAGCAGGAACTGAACCTGGTTTTCTCAGAACCCACACAAAACACCCACCCATCCATGAATGAATAGTGGGTGTGGGAGTGCTCAGGTTACCCACAACTTTTCTGTAGTTCAGAGCTTCTGTTACTGTAGCTAATCAACAGAACCCCACTATGAAGATGTAGCATATGCTGACAAAAAGGAGCTTTCAGCTGATTTAGCTACATCTCTGTCTGCAGAACTGTATCTATGGTGGGGGTTTTGCCAGCATAGCTATGTCAACTCGGATAGTGATGGTGATATTTTTGTAACCTTAGACAACATGACTATGTTGGGACAACTTGGTAGCATAGACCGAAGCTGGCTGTGAGTGATCTTAAACTTCTGTGTAGTCATTTAGGGCCCGATTCTCTGTCATTTACTAGGCGCATAAGTGCACTTAGACACCCTAGTGTGGTTCTGTTCCACCCTACTTGAGTCCCTGAACAACAATGAATGCAAAAGGTAAATACAGAGGTTCTCACTACTTTTTTGTGACTCAGGGCCACATCTTGCCTGTGCCACAAGGAAGTGGCAAAAGTTACAGCTGCAACCCAAAGCATGCAAAGGTGACTCCAGCCCCACTGCATACCATATGCCAGAGCTGGAGCTGCCATCGCCACATGCCCATTCCATAGTGACTCCTCCAGCTCCAGCATGGGATACGTGGTGGGGACCATTAGCAAAAGACGTAGGGCTGCAGCAGTGGCAAAGCTCTCACTTGCCCTCCTACTTCCAGTTGTCATATCCACCAGGGCCCAAGGCCTCTGGATTCTGCAACAGGCCATGCCCCCAGGACATGTCCCCTCCCAATATGCAATGGCCTAATGGTAGCCTGGTGGGCCAAACCAAGTAGCTCTGCAGGCCATAAGTGACATCCGTGCATTAATGGATTTGTTGGGGCTCAAATTGGGCAAAATAGAATCACACTTACATGCCCAATAGGTAGAACAGAATCTGTCCCCATAGTGGGCATCTCTGTAGATTCTGGAATAATTTTAGTAGCCTCAATTTAAGGGCTTTCTCTATGAGAACCTGAGCCTTAGCACAAGCTTCACCCTTCAGCAAGGGGACACCTTGAAAGGTGACATACAAACTACAGTGGGTTATGGAATGGTGAAAGCAGCCCCCCATGCCACTGAGAAAAGGACAGTATAACAAGAATTGTACCTAAGTGAGTAATGAGACATTACAGAGTTCATTACAGAGACTTTGCATAGCTCTGCTTCACAAACGTCTTGTACTGAGAAACTGGCAGGAAGTATGACTCCACTGATGTAAGAGCACGTGGGTGTGTATGTGGCTTTCATGGTCCTGTGAAAAACAAACCTGTTTTCTGACTAAAGGTGTATTTTTTATAAGTGACCACAAGGAAGGCAGGGGACATTTGCATTCTCTACCCAGTTCTATCCAGTGCACTCGTGATGAGTACGTCTAATATCTGTATACAGTTTTCTGTCACCTGATAGGCTGAAAGGGTGTCTTCATAGTTCAGGTCTGCACTGCTGACCAAGTGGCAATCGCAAGAAATGTTCATTTTATATCTGTCTGTTGTTAAATACTAAATTTCATAGATTTCATAGACATTAGGGCTGGAAGGGACCACAGAGGATCATCGAGTCCAGCCCCCCGCCCAAAGGGCAGGTCACTTTACTAGCTGCAGCATCGCATTGCAGGCTCATGTTCATCTTGTGGTCAATGATGACCCCCAAGTCTCTTTTTTTCCATAGCGCTAGCCAGCGTAGCACTGCCAAGCCTATAAGGATGCTGCAAGTTTTTCTTCCCAAGGTGGAGCACCTTGCATTTTTCAGTGTTAAACACGATCAGGTTCTCATCCACCCATTTGCTGAGCCTGTCCAGGTCAGCCTGGATCACCCACCTGTCTTCTGGCGTGGATACTTTGCCCCAAAGTTTGGTGTCATCAGTGAACTTGGCCAGTCCACTCCTGACTCCAGTGTCCACATCATTAATGAAGAATGTCTCTGCAATGGGAATTTCCTATTCCTCCACTATATGGGCAACCCTCTTTTATTTTCCTTAGTAAGCTCTCCCCTTGGAATTCAACACCTCAAGAAGCATGGGCATCTTAACCTTAAAGAAAAGGGCTGTTGTATATTATTGGGACATTAAATGGTTCAAAAATGCAACCACTGATTATTTCCTTGTTTTCCCCACATCACATGGAGAGCAACTGCAACTTATTGAGGAGCTTGCACTGGGTGCATTAAGGATGATTCCAAACTTCACAGGTCCTCCCACAAAACAGGGTCTGGGTGGGTAACTGGGACCTTCTAAACCAAGCCCTAGATCAGTTAGGGCCCACCAAGGCCACAGACCTAGGTTTCATAGTTTCATAGAAGCTAGGGTCAGGAGGGACCTGAACAGATCATCTAGCCTGACCCCCTGCCACAGGCAGGAATGAATGCTGGGTTCACAAGACCCCAGACAGATTATC